TAAGCAGAAATGTAGCTGCATGGTTTGTTTTTTTTTTCTCTGAATGAAATAAATCGAGCACTAACTAGGAAAAGATAGTGCACTAACTTTTTTTTTTGAGAAACTCTAAGAGGCAGTCACCTAATGAAACCTCAGTAGTAGCTTTCTACAAAGATGATTAAAAATTACAATTATAATAATAAATAACTCCAGACTGAAACAGGCTCTGTACAGCTGATAACAGACTTCTGCAGATTAAGACACAGCTATAAATAAGAATTTTAATATGAAATAAAGCTACTGAAGATCAAAAAGGCTGACAGGATGAGGTGACTTTGGCCCCATGAACACATGGACTGACTTTAGAGAACTGAAATAACTTTTCGACTTTTTTTTTTTTCTCTCCATGCTGACATGGTATTCCATGATACAACAACAAGATTTCTTAATGAGCCAAGGACACACAGTAACCCTCTAGACATTTTTAACAAAAGATCTATCCTTTGAGTGCACAATCTGGCATTACTTCTTACTTTTTCTATAGACTCCCAAATTACACTTAGTTATGCAATGGAGAGTAATACCTCACCACTCTCACTCCGACTTCAGTAGCTTCATGTGAACACTAAGGTGCTACGTGGTACAAGTGAGCAGGAAGGCAGCTGATTTTTTTTTAATCAACTCAATTGTACAGTCTGCTCTGAAGCTGGAGAATCAGATTCTCAGCTAGTGTAAACTGGCATAGAATTCTTGCCTTAAAATAGACAAAATAGCGAACTATCCCAGTTTGTTTTCAATGGAGCTACACTGATTTAAAACAGCTGACAATTTCTCTTGCATCTAGAGAGTCTAACTTCTGCTTTGAAAGAAAGTGCCCTTTAAAGTAAATGTCCCCTCTTGAAATGGTAACATCTGGAAGCAATTATTCTCATCTTCAAGCAGATGCTCACAGTGAACAGCTCATTAAGAATGTGACCCATTTTGCTACAGAGAAATTATAGTGTATTTCAGTGGTATGATGCAACTTGAATTCAGCCAGAATAAATATGCAATTGTAAGAAAAGAAAATATGGATTTATGTTACTGGTTTTAAAGAAAAAGAGATAATATAAGACACGCAAAATGGGAATTTGGGCTGTTGCAGCTTTAGGAGGATCTTTAAGAGCTGAAATATAGAACAGAAATAGAACATATCCTAGTGAATCTTATTTATAAGCAAGACACTTGGTTTTAATTTTAGAAAGTACTATAATTTAATTTCTCAAAGTTATTTTTTAAATTAAACTTTTAACTTCAGAAATCAAGGAAAAGAACTATTTTAGAGTAGAACATTTAGAAAGATATCATGCAGAAGCTACAATATGCATGTACCAGACAGATCAATGAACAGGAAACTATTTCCATACACAACCATATTTTTAAAATTCACACTGTATACTTTTAAAATATTTAATCATGCTTTTCAATATTCTCAATGAAGCTGAAGCACGTGCTGTATGCCTTACTTTCACATTTTGTTGTCTTGGAAATATATTATTATAAAGCAGCTTATAAAATTGAATATGACAGAAAAAAGCTTATAAAGAGGACTCCACACTTTTCCAGACTGCCAGCTGCAAGCACAGAAAATTCCAGGATATCTAGCACTCCACAGAAAAGAATAAGCAATCATGCCATACACTGATTGAGAAACCTTAAGTAAAATTTTAGTCAACTGAGTGGAAAAAGCCACCCCCGAATGATTCCATTTTGCACTTGTGCGCTGCACAAAACACAACACTGACCAAGTTTCATACTTTTCACCCTTATTAAAACAGTTGAGACAGACAGACAGACTGACCGACCAAGCTACCTAGCTGGTAAGCAAAACTCAGCAAGAACAACCACTACTGAGGACTGCACTTTTCAAGTGCTGTGTGTCAGCTGTGGTAGAAATAAGATATTTGCTTAACTGAAAACACAGCTGAGAGCAATGTACACGTGTAATCACCATGAAATGGTGCAAGTCAGTAGCACAGAGTGAATTACAGCCTTCCAATTCATCGTTTGCCTATTATATAGTTTAGCAAGAGAAAGGACAGAACTTCCCACTGAACGGCCAATTGGAACAGCCCTTTGCATGCGCCTGACAAGCAGATTTGTGCCTGTGTTAACTGTAAAATAAGAAATCTGTGTAATGCTCACCTGTATAGATAAGCTGCACAACTGGAGAGCAAGCTCTGAAAACTGTATGCCTCACAACCAGAGCAGCACAGAGCACACCTCAAAATCTGGAACACTAAGCTAGCTGCTGGCAAGACGTTATTGCAGGCTATAAACAAGTGCTGAAATTCATCTAAGATCAGATAACTCAGGCAACTGAAAGTTGAAGGAACGATCCTTGCCGGCCAGCAAAGTTCCTGAGAAGCAAACAGATACACGACAGATTTATACCGTGTAACCAAGGTGGGATTCTGGCTCTCCCGAGTAAAAGACAACTGTAAAACCAGAACAGGTAGACCCTAAACTGCACTGATTCAAGTTCTTACTCTCATACAGCTTTTGGCGAGGGTCATAAAACTCTCCATTGTGCCTCACAAAGTGCACTCTCTGGCACACTTTCCCCTGCTCCTTGCACCCAGGTAGAAGTCGACCATAAACTGATAATGAGAAACAAATTCATTTCTGTTTGCATTCAAGTATTTCAGTTTTCATGTGTATTTGTAAGACACAAAGAATCCTAAAGCCCATGCTCTGTACTCTAGAAGGCAGAATCCTGGTTACATACTGCAACCATCTGGCAAGAGTCCCCTAGATTGGCTGTAATTTTACATTTTAAAGTCACTGATACACCAGAAATGGACTGCCACAACATATTTTTTTTCACAGGATAATTATAAGAGTTTAGGTAACTATTCATAGAGGCTGACATTTCCACATCTGTCAGGCATTCAGTGGCAAGACAGAGATAATGCTGGAAGGAAATTCAGTGAGACCAAACCGGTGCCTTACTCCCAGTCATGCTTCAGAAAATTTTCTCTTTAACTTTTACTATGAAAGACAACCAGGTGTCTATGTTTTAGCCTGTATCTGGGGCTACACTCTCACAGTTGTTCTATCACTCAAAGACTATTCTCCAGCAGATGAGAGGGATCTGGTTGATTAAAGACAAGGAGAGGAGACCAGTGGGTTGAAATGAGAGCAAGTTTAATGAAATAGCAAAACTAGTATTAATACTAATGCCCATATAAAGTATACAAAGTTATAGTCAGCCCTGTAAAACTACAGTGGTCACAATAAACACAAAAGCAGTCCTTGGGAGCAGATTGGTAAACGAGCCCCTCTAGGAGTGGTGAGGAGGCAGCCCCCATCCTCACCCTTTATAATGAGGGTGAGGTTTGCAGGATGGGGTACACCTGCAGCCAGCCTAGGGCAGCTGCTTAGGCTTGTGCCCCTCCCAGCTCATGCTCCTGTCTGACTCCAACCTGGAAGGGCCTGCACACCATGGCTTTTTAAACAGTTTTCTCCCAGACATTGAGGAAAAAGTTTGATGAACATGACAGTCAGTATGAAATACGTTGCAGAAGCATGTGGTCAGGGACAGGAGAGGGATGAAAAGAAAATGAGGTCTTCTTTTTGTAGCAGTAGCATTTAGATTGGCTCAACTCATTTCCTGAAAGTCCACATTTTGACTAAAGAATATTGTGCTGTCCTCTGAGGGTGATGAAGAATCACAATTTTCTGCAGAGAAGCAGCAGTATCTGTAGCTACTATTCTTTACTCGAGATGTCCACCCAAAATGCTGAACAGCAATTTTATGTTATTCATATAACATTTATTTAGCCACTTTTTCCAAAGTGTTTCCATGTTCACTTTGTAGCAAGGTTCAAAACAATTATGCATAAATCATAAGCCAAAAGGATTTTAGCCAGTAACTCCACCCTGACAAAGTGGACAAGTCTCTGCTAGCATAGATTCAGCAAAACCTATTTTGCAGGGCAGCATTACATACCCTTTCTGCTCTGAAAGTACATTAAATTGTCTTCAAGTGTATGATTCTTTTTTAATGTAGCATTTAGGGCATAGAATTAATTAAGAGTCACTTTCCTTATAGTTCTCAAAATAAAGAGAGGGTTTATCCTGGACTCAGGTATATAGTTTCCCAGGTAAGTGAATAATATGCTTACCCATACTGCCATTAGCTTAGTTCTACTAATATACGTTAAAGATTTTTCAAGCTAGGGCAATTCTCTTTATCATTCCATTTTACATTTGGAAGAAGCAGTTGACTTAAGTTCACAAAGGTAAAAATTAGTGGAGTTCAATATATTGTAAATAAGCAAGCAGAAAAATTTGATTTACAGGCACCTCAGGAAGAAAATAGAAATCTTTCTGAAAAGCAAGAATATTTATGTAAGTACATAGAGCTAGATGATTTTTTTTTCTTATTAGAAATATGTTAGTTTACTGTAAAAGTAAATAAATACTGTCTTGAAAGACACACACTAAACAGTTCTGACTGGAAAAGCTCAGTGACAACACTAGTAGCTTTCACCTCTTTGCTAAGCATCATGAGCAATTGCACAGGACACTGGCAACTGCTGGCTGAGATGATCTGAACGCAACTCTCCCCAAAACCCGACTGTGGAAGTCCCTGAGACCCTTCTGCTTTTTATAAATTAACTGCAAGAACGCCTATCGGCCATAGATCTTACATGAACGTCCAAATCATCACATGATCAGGTCATTCTCTTCTCTCCAAATCTCATCTCATTCCCTATAGATAATAAAAATGAACTGAGAAAAGAACTTTGAAAATAAATTATAAAAAAATAAGACCCTCTGCTGAGCCACAACAGAAGTATAATTTATCTGACTCTTGAGACTGAGAGACCTAACCTGAGTTTCCCATATTCCACTCTCACCTGGAGGATGTAATCAAAGTGAGAAAGACACCACAATAACAATTCCCTCATCATTCTCTAGTCTTCCACTTAATTTGCTCTTCTTACTGTTCACTAAACTGTTAACAGCACTTTTTCTCATTCCAGGGAGAAAATACATTTTAAACATCTCAGTTCCACACTGAATTTATTTATTTTTAATTTGGTTCAGCTATTGAAAGTACATCAGTCACATTAAAATTAAAATACCAAGCACATGCGTTTTGTGTACCTGTCTGCCTCTGTGCAAAGTTCAAATGGACAAATCGTAAGACTAAAATCTTTACCAGGTTATGGCCTAGATAATTCTTTCTCTTAAAAAAAAAACAAACAAAAGCCCCTTGAGCTCTCATATATGCTGTAAACAGAAGAAATGTCACCTACAAATTTAGCAATCAAGAACCAAGCTTGTCAGTATCTCTGTAAAACATATTCGTGTGCAAGATCTCAAAACTACCATACAAAACAATAAAAAAATTAAGCTGACTGCTAACTATTTGTGTACAAGAAAGAATAAATTTGAAATCACTCCCATTTGGCAACAGTTACAGCCACTCCAAGTGATCTCAAAATTTAGATTTAAGGTTTATGTTAAACACGTTTGGAGATTCTCTGAGTTCTTTACCTTTAGTACAGACTTTTGTAGCTTATCACTTTCGGATCAGCTTTGTAAGCAATTTGTGCATGTGCCTAATGCCAGAGAGACTCAAACGTTTTCACTGAAACGACATCATACATGCTTTATTATATTCTATTTTCAGATACCTCAGTGTTCTATTTAATCAGGCTTTAAATTTACGGTTTCCTCTAGAAAATTTTAAGTTAGAGAATCAATGCAGTTTTAGCAGAAGTCACATGACATCTATCTAGTTTTAGACTGAAACAGGAAACTTCTACAATCTATTATGAATGCCTTTCTGAAGTTTGAAAATAGATTTTCCTAATTTAAATAGTTAATGTTCTTTGATTTTCACTTCAGATCTCACTGAAAAACTAAATGCACTTGCTGTTTATGAGCATAAAACTTTTCCCAGCTGGAAGCATTTTGGGCAACAAAAATTGTATAAAATCAAGTTTTTTAGAGGAGCTTGGAGAATTGTAAATTTTAAAGGTTTAGGATACGAGTTTGAAAATAAATAGAAATTGCTACTGTCTACATACAGATGTACATGGATCCCTATTATAATAAAAGACTTTTATATAGATGAACACAACTACAATTTAAAGCTATGAATACTTCATAAAGTAAATTTATAACACAACATTTTGGGAGAGGAGTGGAAGTAAGCTCATCAAGAACAATTATTTTCCTGCAAATTTCTGGCCTAGATTTTAAGGGTTATTTATAATTTCAAATCTATTTTTGATCTGTATGTACTGTATTACTGCAGCTGTAATTGCACTGGAAAAGTTCTTTTGCATCAACAGACACGTGAAATATTAAAAGTATTTAATTTATCACTTGTTCTACTCTCTCAACATACAACATTAAAGAGCAAAAATTAAAACACATAGCCTAAAATTGTTGATTGAAATAAAGAAAAATATGCCTTTATATATTAATTTTCTTTCAAAATTAAGGGAAATGCTTCTAAATTAGACATAAATGGTTATAGAACTAAACTTGATACAGTAATTCATTTTGACTTACTACCTGTTCAGTTTCAAAGCCACAGAAACCAGAAGATATCTAAATAAAACTTAACTTTATAAACTCCCACATATACTAGATACATTTAACATGTCCAAATGTAGATCATCAGCACAGTGCAAATAAGACACAATAGTTTCATTTTACATGCTACCACATACAGTATTATGCAACCAGCCTGTAAAATGTTTCTGCAACAGGAAAATACAGATATGTTGGGGGGGGGG